GACTGTCAGCTGATTTCTCAACAGAAACCTTGCAGGCCAGAAGGGAGTGGCAAGAAATATTCAAAGTGATGAAAAACATGGAACTACAACCAAGATTGCTCTACCCAGCAAAGCTATCATTTAGAATTGAAGGTCAGATAAAGAGCTTCACAGAGAAGAAAAAGCTAAAGGAGTTCATCACCACCAGACCAGCACTACAGGAAAAGTTGAAGGATTTTCTTTAAGAAGAAGCTAATGAACAAAAGAATCTGACGAACTAAATAGATCCAGAGACATTGACGCATGCAACAGATGATCATATTTCAGAGGGAAGAGGGAAGGGGGGTAGAGGGTGGGAAGAGATTAACCAAAGAAGTTATATGCATAACCCATGGACACAGTCAATAACGGGGTGAAGGCCTGGGAAGGGGGTGGGAGCGAAGTGGAGTGGATCAGTTGGGGGGAAAAATGGGATACCTGTAATACTCTCAACAATAAAGATAAATTTAAAAACAAACAAACTGACATTATCTCATTAATCCTCACAAAAAAAAAAAAAAAGGACATATCTAGGTCAATTTATGATGTTAACTAAACATTCCAACCACTGTGTGCTGATGTGAGCCCCAAAAAAGGTGTTTTTTAAAAATTTAATTTAATTTTTTCCATCACCATACCCTCCCCCCACAATTACCACATTGTTGTCTGTGTCCATGAGTTTTTTCTCTTTTTTTTCTTTTCCTTTTTGCTCAGTCCCTACACAACCCCAGTTTACCCCCACCCCCACCAAAGCTGTCTGCTTGCTCTCTGAGTCTGTCTCTATTTTGCTTGTTAATTCAGTTTGTTCATTAGATTCCACATCATATGGTATTTGTCTCTCTCTGACTGGCTTATTTCATGTAACGTAATGTTCTCCAGGTCCATCCATGTTGTGAAAACGGTAAGTTTTTTTTTTACTTTTTAACTGCCAAGTAGTATTCCATTATGTAAATGTACCATAGCTGTTTTATCCACTCATCTACTGATGGACGCTAGGGCTGCTCATCATGTATTTATTTATTTATTTATTCATTTATTTATTTATTTTAAATATGTCTTTATTGATTTCAGAGAGAGGAAGGGAGGGGAGAGAAAGAAAAATCAACATCAGAGAGAAAGATCAGCTGTCTCCTGCACTCCCCCTACTGCGGATGGAACATGAAACCCAGCGTGTGCCCCTACCAAGAACTGAACCGGAGTCCTCTTTCTTGGTGCAGGAGATGGTGCTCAACCTACTGAGCCACACAGGCCAGGCCCCCCAAAAAAATTTTAAAAGAGCATTTTGCAAGACATTTCTACAAGTAAGAGAGATGTTTTTATTTAACTGCCAGAACCTCTGTAAAAATTGAAACTGTTATTTCTGGAGATTCCAGAGTTTCCTTTGGAAGTAACCCCCAACTCCAACAAAAGTCTGACTCAGCCTCATAAAAATCTATGTTGTAATAGGTGCTGTGTCACTGAAAACCACTGAAAATAGGGTTAAAAGCAGCAAACCATATATGGCGAAACCCATATCGTCAAACTTGTCACGGGTTCTACTTTCTGATCTCTTAAAGTTGAAGTAGGCTGTGCTTTGTAAAACAGAGACACACACACTCTCAGAACCTGCAGTGGCTCCGGATTCCAGCCTCCCAGGGCTCCGCACCAGACAGAGCGAGCATGCGAGTCATCCTTGCTATGACAGCCTGGATGCTTTCTGTGGTCTCCAGTTATTCATATTCAGTAAATAGCTTGCCGGATATCAACAATGAAACGTTTATCAAAGACTGTGTTCGCGTTCATAACAAGCTCAGATCAGAGGTGAAGCCGGCAGCCAGTGATATGCTGTACATGGTAAGGAAAATATCTGTTTGTGGCATAAGTCAGTCAAAAACAACTAATGTGTACTGATTTTGGAGGGGAATCCTCGGTAACCGTAAGTGATTTTTTTTTAAATTGTGATTAAGGTGCTCAGTAAATTTACAATCTGTGATCAAAACAAACCCAGCATAGCTCTGCCTGTCAACAGCTCAGCAAATATATTTCACTTCTCTTTTTGGACACTTCCTTACCTCTGGGCATAAGTAGATTACACTTCTCTTTTTGTCTTTTTCTTCCCTTTTAATTTTGTTAGGGGTTTTGTTTGTTTTGCCTCTAAGTGTATTTTTTGTTGTGACCTACCCAGTACTGAACCATGGAGTGTGGGGAAAACAGGATTTTGATTCACTCAGGTTTGGGTTTGAATCCTAGTTCTGTGGCTTTGATCTGGCTTTTTAACCTTTCTGAGCTTCTTAAGATATAAGGTATTGTGGTTACTAAATTTTATAAAATATGTAAAACAGCACTCAGTATTTTGCATATACAGGTATCCCTCACTTTTCGAAAGTTCTCTTTGCACCACTTTGCTTTTACAAAAGACCTACATTCTGCCTAGCCGGTTCGCCCAGTGGTTAGAGCGCAGGCCTGCGGACTGAAGGGTCCTGGGTTCGATTCTAACCAAAGGCAGGCACCTCAGTTGCAGGCTCGATCCCCCCCACAGTCGGAATGTCTCAGTTTGGTGTCTCTCTCTCTCTCCTTCCTTTCCACTCTCTCTGCAAAGCAATGGAAAAAATATCCTCGGGTGAGGATTGAAAAAAAAAAAAAGACTTACATTCCTAGCTGTTTTCTCAATGGAAAGAAACCTGAAGAGGATTTTGCTTTTATAAAAAAAAAGGTGAAAAGCAAAAAGAGCGTTCAGTGCTCGTTGCACAGCCGGGACAGAGTCAGCGCGCCCTGAGCAGCAGAGCGGCGGCCGAGCCGGGAACCCCACGGTCTCAGCAGCAAGCCCTGCGTGGGACCGGTGTCTGTAAGCATCTGTGCTTTATTTCCATCTGTGCTGGGCACATGTTGGCAGGATGTGTCCTAAGGTAATTGCTTTTTCGCTTTACACCATTTTGGCTTACTACAGTTTTCAGACATAGGTCTGCTCTGCTTTCGGATAGCGAGGGAAACCTGTAGTAGGTCTTCAGTGGCACAGTCATTCGGATTCCAAATTCCATGAAACTAGGCGATCCTGTTTCCGACTAGCCCTGGTTATTACTTGAAGACCGTACTTACATAGTGGACGCCCGTGCAGTGGTTCCTTCTCTGTTCCTGTCATCACACCTCATTCCCCATTTCAGTTCCCACTCGGCTCACTCCCGTTGCGTTGTTGGGTAACAGGTTCCATTCTTGACCCTCTGGTTGTTTAATATTTGTTTTTACAGACGTGGGACCCAGCACTAGCCCAAATTGCAAGAGCATGGGCAAGAAAATGTCAGTTTTCACATAATACACAGCTGAAGCCACCCCACAGGCTGCACCAAAATTTCACTTCACTGGGAGAAAACCTCTGGTCTGGGTCCCTGTCCATCTTTTCTGTGTCTTCAGCCATCACAAACTGGTACAGTGAAGTTCAGGACTATGACTTCAAGACTCGGAAATGCAATAAGGTCTGCGGCCATTACACTCAGGTAAGGGTCTGCCCTATATTCTCTTGAAACTATTTTCTCATGAGTGAGCACAAAACTGGAACCTAGTGTTAAGAAAATATACAAGAAGCTAGTACATCTGTAAATATGAGACAGGGTGACAGGTTTACTCCTAAAAATAAATACTAAATGGAACAGACTCCAATACCAGAGGAGACAGTGGTTGAAAAGTTTAGTTAAGTGGACATGGGTGAAATGCGAGGCCCACCGAGGCTTTGAATAATTTTGAGGAGAGCTATTTTCCCGCGGGGCTTTATTCCACTTGTCAGCAATCAAAGGACCTTATGAGTGCATTTCAAGTACGAGTGCTCTATAAAATGTGAGGCCGTTGTTTTGGAACTACAAAATTGGGAGAAATAAGCCTCTCAGACAGAAGTATCAATAAGAATTGATGCTTTCATATCCTCTGATTCTTTCAAACATGGATCGAGAACCTATCAAGGGCCACAGGAGAAAAAAAGAACAGCAGGCACAGTCCCTATGGAGAGGCCAACATGTAAACTTGTTAAACCATGCTGTGGTGCTCTCCCTGCAAAGTCGATAGCATCAGTCCCAAAGCCACATCCAGGGCCTCCCACTGAGATTTTATTTTATTCTATTTTATTTTTATTGAACTGGTTTTAGCTTCCTAACCCTAACTCAAGTTGGCAACTTTATGGAAAGTCCCTAGGTAGCATCTTCTTGACAGGCTGCCTTCCAGACTGGACCACTGGACGTGTGTGTGTGTGTGTGTGTGTGTGTGTGTGTGTGTGTGTGGTTTGTTTCTTTTTTAAAATTTAACTTAACTTAAATTTAATTTTTCCCCATCAGCACTTACCCCTCTATGCCTCTTCCACCCCCCCATCACCACACTTGTCCATGTCCATGAGTTCGCTCTCTTTTTTTTTCTTTTATGCTCAATCCCTCCACACTCCCAACCCCCAACCCCAGCCCCCGCCAGAGCTGTCTGCCTGCTGGGCAGGTTTTGTTTACTTACTTTTGTTTACTCGCAGTCCTTGTTAAACCAAGAACTAAAGGTACTTAGTCTATATTTGACAGGTTTGAATGAGCAAGAATATGTTGAAAGGAGGCATGGTGGCAAACACATTGCTAACAAGGTCGATCACTTGGAATATTAGGTGTTTTTAAAGAGCAAATGTTATTAGATAAAACCCTTAGTATAGTTCAGCCTTATAAAGCCTTTGACCTCACTGGTATTGTTACAGGTAAAACAAGTTTGGCAAAGTTATAAGGAGATTAAGATGATGAAAAGGACAGGACGGATTTCAGTGAAATTTTCATCTCACGATTATTGTAAGCAAGGAGGGGCTATGAAGTCATCAGTAGCATCAGTCCATTCCTTGGAAATATAAATAAGGTTCTCCTAAAGCTATTCCATAAACCATCAATTTTGGTTTATGTTTCTGAGTGAAATTAACCAGAAAATAAATTTTGTTGGGTTTCCACAAGTCCTAGAGGACAAGAAAGCTAAATCCAGATTGCCTACAAGAGGTACCTGGTAACATTATGCCTTA